GGGAATGTTTGCTATGTACTTACAGGCAGTGAAAATTTTGTGGGGGGGGTTTCGTTCCTGGCCTCCACGTGTCAGCAAAGTGCATATAAGTGCCTTCGCCCTGTTACGCCCCACTCCACCCTTGTGCTACCTTCTTCCAGGTCCAAAAGGGCCCACACATTGGCAATTGCACATGAATTGGGCGCACCTAAAATGGTCACCGCCTGTATTTAGAAAATTTATATACAGTGGTACCTCAGGATGTGAATGGGATATGTTCTGGAGCCCCGTTCGCATCCTGAAGCAAACGTAACAAACGACGGTGCATCTGCACGTGCGCTGGTCGCGTTTTGCCACTTCCGCGCATGCATCTGTGCATGCGTGAGCGAAGCCCAGAAGTAATGTACTCCGTTACTTCCGGGTTGCCGCAGAGCGCAACTCGAATGCGCTCAACCCAAAGCACATTCAACCCGAGGTATGACTGTACTGTGTAACGTTTTTGGCAGGGACATGGGTGGTGCTGTGGCCTAAACCACAGAGCCTAGGACTTGCCGATCAGAAGGTCGGAGGTTCGAATCCCCGCGATGGGGTGAGCTCCCATTGCTCGGTCCCTGCTCCTGCCAACCTAGCAGTTCGAAAGCACGTCAAAGTGCAAGTAGATAAATAGGTACCGCTCTGGCGGGAAGGTAAACGGTGTTTCTGCATGCTGCTCTCCTTCGCCAGAAGTGGCTTAGTCATGCTGGCCACATGACCCGGAAGCTGTACGCCAGCTCCCTAAATCAGTAAAGCAAGATGAGCACCGCAACCCCAGAGCCGTCCACGACTGGACCTAATGGTCAGGGGTCCCTTTACTTTTAACATTTTTGGCAAAAATCCCTAGGCGATTCAAGCCCCTAAATAATTGATGTTTGAAAAGTTGTTTGATATTTCTTTAAAAAAGCAACTCACGCTTGATTTCTTTTTACAAAAATATGGTTAAAAGAAAAGAATGTTGCTTGTTTTACTAGGAAATCATTATTTTTCCTTGTCTGCACCCCATGCTCCTCGTTTCCCCTGATGTCCTGGGCTGGCAGAGCCTTCCAGTGGATTTGGTACAGTCACAATATCAGAGCACAGATCACGGAGCCACAGTTGCTACTGTAATTCAAGCAATTGCCACATAGGCATCTAATATTTCAGTCCCTTGACACAGGCCTCACTCACGTGCAGCAAGGCTTTATAGTCCTGGTTTTCGAATCTACAAAAGGGTTTTTAAGGGTTGGTTACCGTTTCAATTTCTTCTGGTAGGTCAAATGTAAATCTGTACCTTTTGAGACTCCAGGTATGTGAAATTCAGCTTGTTTGTTGTCAGGTGGAAAGGGCTACTGCTGCCTAGCAAATTAAAATCAATATGTAATAAATTTTGTTTGCAAGTGAACTTTAATCCCGAATGGCTGTGTTCCTGCACCTCATTATTCTCCCCCTGCCACACTTTCTGAGTTCCAGTCTGTCAATATGTATCATCCTCTTTGACTGCAGTGTGAAGGCTAAGTAAGGATGCATTCAAGTTCAGCTCATTTAACAGCACAATCCTCACCTCTTTGGCTCCGAAATAGGTCCTAAGGGGGCTTACTTCCGGGTAAACAAGGTTAGGACTACAGCCATAGTCTCATAGATTTTGGTGGGAGAACATGCAGGTGTGTTTTTTATTAACCCAGCTATCAAAATTAATGAGAGTTGTTCAAACTGCTTACATTTGGGTGCATTTAGCCCCATATGTTCACTGTGATCTCGTTCTCTCAATAAAGTTCATTACCATGTCTCTGTGCATTCCTAAATGCCATCACAAGAGCCAACAACAGTGGCATTTTGGCATGGAAATAGAAACATGAAACATCATCTGATTTTATTTTTGCTCACTTGACAGTTTAGATTTTCTTTTGATGGATCAAACTCGTTCCCGAGCCATGAATGCTACGCTGTGGCCATTTGTTTGGATGATTAGCTCCTTTCTTCTGCTTGGATACTTTCCTTGGTACCATTACTGTTGGTCACTGGCTCTGCCTTTTCTCTAGTACAGTGTGTTGATACTGCTGTTAGTGTCAGCATAAACGATGCGGTAGGGCACACACTTGTGCTTGGTTATTCTCAAATGCCGCCAAATTTTGCAGAGAAATGCGAGAGAGTAAGAGGCAAATGAGTGCACTTGGCTGCAGTCCATAATCTAATTGTTGCAGAGTAGTCCTATTAAGGCAAATATAATGGATACCACAGTGAGTGCACAACAGCAACAACAACAAAAGTCCTTGAGTCTCACTTCTTTCTAAAAACTTCAACTATGGAATGGGCATTTCAGTATCGCAAAACATTTTGCTAAAATATTATATAATAGAAATGTCTCTCAGTATGGCCATTCCCAAAGGCAAAAAAAGGGAAGATCGGTTTTGTTAATTTCAGCAAAGGTCAGTGTCATCCTAACCAACTTGTGCCCACTGGGTAGGATTAAGACTCCAAATCTCTGTGTCAGGAAGGCACAGCACTAAACCAGGTAAAAAAAGGTAAAAGGTAAAGGACCCCTGGACAGCTGAGTCCAGTCAAAGGTGACTACGGGGTTGTGGTGCTCATCTGGCTTTCAGGCCGAGGGAGCCGGTGTTTGTCCACAGACAGCTTTCTGGGTCATGTGGCCAGCATGACTAAACCGCTTCTGGAGCAATGGGACACCGTGATGGAAACCAGAGCGCACAGAAACGCTGTTTACTTCCCCACCGCAGCAGTACCTATTTATCTACTTACACTGGTGTGCTTTCGAACTGCTAGGTTGGCAGCAAAAATAATACTATTGTGCATAGGTGTAGCTGCATCACATGTAGGAGCATAGAAGTTCCCTTGGCAACTTCTGTCCTAGCTCCTCTGGCCCAGAATCCATGTCCAAGGTGAGAGCGTGGAAGCGATTCTGCAACTCTAATGACAAAGTGTGGTTTGTGATTGTCCTACTTCTGTGCGTCACATTCCTCCAGGGGTTAGACTCCAGGGGCAATCTTTCTCCATCCTGGGGGCACCCCCATCTATCTTGATGCTCAATCTCAATCAACTCAGCTCTATCAAGTAACTCTGCATGTTGCCCTGTTGCTTGAGGTTTGGCTAGGTGGGCCTCAAGTTGCTACACCTTCTCTTCCAGTAACACAACCATCCTGCACTTGCTACAAGTGTACTGTTGCTTGTTTTCTGACAGAATGGCAAACATGGCAACAGTGTTACAGGTCACTGCAGCCCTTGCCCTCCATGTCTCTGGTCCTATGCACACCGAGAGACAGAGCTAATTGTTTTGGATAGTGTACAGCAGCCACCCTCTCATCTGCTTTAAATCTGGGTTGCAAACTGTACCTGTTACAAGGAACATTTTGTTTTTGTCTTTTATTGTTGTTTGGGAATTACCGTGTATTGTATTTTTAACATTGCCTTGCTCATAAGTTGCTATGGGGATATTTATTGATGAGATGGTTACATGCATTTTGTAAATAAATAAATTCTGTTTCTTGCATGAGCCTTATGCCACAGTCCTGCACACACTCAGGAAAAAGCCACATTGAAATCAGTTGTACTGGGCTGCCAAATCCTTTCTTCAGTACACAGAAATGCACAGAGGCTTACAGCACAAGAGCTTTTCATCAAATTTCCCTCTAAGCCCTTAACTTTGTTTCCCTCAAGGTTTCTGTTGAGGTTATCAGATTAAGATATGCACTAAAACACACACATTGGGCCCCCAAAGGACTGCAGATCAATAACTAAGCACACCTGTCTGCCATTTTTGTAGAAGTGTCAATCTGAGATTGGCACACAGGCCTGGGGCGTGGACCTCACTGAACAAGAAAAAAAGGGGAGAACAATGCATTTGTGACTGTTCAGTCAGAAAACATGTTGAAGCCAGTCTGTAGTATACAATGATATAGGAACAGGAAGTATAGCTATAGTGTACTAAAACAGAAAAAGTACTCTGCTACCTCATGGTTGTTTCCTGATTTTAAGAACGGCCTCTTTCCCTGCTTTTAATACTATTTCCATAGATTATGAAAATCCTCCTGGATCTTTAAACGTGGGAAACAAAGCCTCATATTTGTTATTCATAATTCATGTAGCCTAGGGTTTTCCATTTGGATTTTGTTTGTTATATAGTAACATTATAACACATTGTTATTATCATGGCTATTAATGCTAATATTGCTATTATATTATTTATTATTATTATTATTATTAAACAAACAGGCTGTATTGCAAGATCATCCACACAAACTATGAACAAGTGATAATCCATTTGAAGGTCAACTGTATGGAAATCAATAGCGCTTATTGTCAAGAGTATACGTTTGGTCTTGGGAGTAAAAAAAAGTACTGCATGAACAACAGGAGCACATTCTCACTTAGCTCAGATAAAAAGAAGAAACAATCATTTTAATTTTTCATTTTATTTTTAGTATTACACCATTTATGTCCTAACAACAGGTTCAAGGTGGTTCCCTCTTCCTCCTTTTATTCTCACAGCAACTCTGTGAGGGAGGTTAGGCTGCCTATGCACCACGCATTTAAAGCCCAGTCTCTCCCTTTAGAATCCTGGGAACTGTAGTTTAAAGGTGTTGGGAACTGTAGTTCTGTGAGGGGGGCACAAACTACGATTCCCAGCATTCCTTGGGAGAAGCCATGCGCTTTAAATGCACGGTGTGCCCGCAGCCTACATAAACCCGAGCTACCTTTCCCCCACATCGCGCCCTGCAGTGGGGGGGGGGAGCCTCTGATAAGAAATCCTATTTACAGTGAAATTCTTGCGACGTTTACTTAGATATTAAAAGCTGCAGCGCTTTACTTCTTCAATCAGGCAACCCTTTGCTCCCAAGAGAAGCGAGGCTGGATCCAACCAACACCAAGACGAGTTGTTAAAAATAAATAAATAAATAAATAAGGGGTTAAAAGGGGGAGGAGCCTTCGAAGAAAAGGGGTGGGGTTTCCCCGTCCTTCCCGCGCGCTCGCTCGCTCCCAGCAAGATCAATTGGCGAGCCGAACGGGAGGGAAAACTTTCGCGCGCGCGTCTCCACCGGGGCGCGCGCGAGAGAGCGCGAGGGCTTCCCGCTTTCTCCTCTGTGCGTGTATTGTGGGAGTGCGCGCGCTCGCGCTCCCACAGAGCCACACACGCGACAGATACGGTGCCTCTCTCAAGAGGCAGGGAGCGCTCTACGCGCGCGCGTGCGCCCTGCTGCTGCTGCTGCTGCCGGCGGTAGTGGCGGTGGCGGTTTCGCGGGCTCCTGGCTGGAGACTTCCAGAGCGTTAGATGGGGCTGAGGCAGAGCGGCGCCCACTGAGGAGGAGGCGGCGGAGGGTGCGCGCGCGAGAGAGAGAGCGAGACGAGGCCAAGGCAGCCGACCGACCAACGTTCCAACCAACGAACCAACCAACCAACCAACGGCCGCCTCGCCGGTAACTGCCCCAGCAGCAGCAACTGCCTTCTCAACAGTCCGGCGCGAGCTGGGCGGGCGGGCGCCTGCGCCTCTCCACGCGGAGGGGCGGCGCGGCGGTCCTGTTGCTCTCTCCCCCCCCCCCGGGTGTGTGTGGGTGTTTGTGTGTGGAGCCGGGAGTTTCTCTACTATTCGGGCTGAGGAAAGAGAGGCTCGTGTGGGACGAGGAGGAGGAGGAGGCGGCAGCTGCCCCGTGACTCTCCTCTCAGCGCGAAGGGAGCCATGGGGCGGCCTCCTCGCCTCGCCTGCCTTGGCCTGAGAGGGGCTCCCTCAGGTAGAGAGAAGACCCTTCCCCCCTCCTCCCCGTTGTGCCATAGGGGCTCCTGGCGCCTCTCTTCTGCCCCCCCCCCGCGCCCTTTTTCTCGGGCCTCGTATGGCCCCTTCCTCTCTTAGCGCTCCCCTGGATTATCCCCTGAGGAGGAGGAGGAGAAAATACTTGCCGGGGGAGGGAGGGGAGATAATCTTTTCCCTCCCGCCCGGGATTATCTCCCCGCCCTCTGCGGGATTATCCTGTCCGCCCTCCTTCCCCCTCCCTCGCTCACCCCGCCTCCTCCAGCAAATCCTCGAGGCGGCGTGGGGACAAATCCCACCCACCCAAGAGTCGCTCCCGCGCGCTCTTCTTTCCCTTCCCCAAAAACCTTGGGCTTCTTCCACCAGGTGAAAGGCACGTATTTTGTTGGGCTGTTGATTATTAATTTATTTTTCGGTTGGTGGTGGTGGTGGGGAAACCGGTGGCTGCGATCCGCAGTGAAACTGAAGGTGGAAAGGGAGAGAAAAAGGGTGGTGGGTGGGCTGCGATTGCCACGGCGGTGCTGTCACCTCGCTGGATTTGGAGCTCAGGAGGGCGGGAGGCAGGGCGAGCGCGTGGATTGGCCGCGGGGGGAGGGAGGCTGGGGGGGGGAGAGAAAAGGTAGGTAAGTGTTGCAATCCGCCACTAATGCAGCGAGGTGGGGGGTTGCGGGTGGCAACGTGCCGGCGGCCCCCCCCTCCCACGGTAGCATTTCTTGAGTGCCCAGGGTGTTGCTATACGGGGGGGGGGGAGGGGAAGGGAGCCAGTCGGTTCCTTGGCTTGATCATGCTTTCTTGGTGTGATCGGCTTCGTCCTTACGAAACTGTAGAGCGTAGCTTTCTCCCACCTACTAACCCACCCCCGCCCACCCACCCCATTTTTTTGGATTTTAACTCTTCGAAATGCCTTGGGTGCCTCTCACGCCACAGCAGCTGAAATAGTTTTACTTAAGGCACAAAATGTGAATGGGGGGGGGGAGAAAAAACCCCTGCATGGATGTCATTTGTTGTAAGTTGGGCTGGGCTCTGAATGGAGTGGACTTGCTTCTGGCTTTCCGCCAATTGGTTGTGGCTATTGCTGACAGAAGGAAGGGCGGGCGTCATTTAAATTAATGCTCTGACGACACAGCAGTATAAGATAATCACGTTTGGCTCGTGGTAGAACCAGTGGTGGTGATCTGGTTATGTGGTTCCTTTTCACCTGTTTGAGCTAGGTGCAGCGATCTGGATGACTGGTGCTGCAGAGCTTCTTTCCAATTCTGCTGCACAGAGCTCAGGATTACATCCATCCATTAAACTTCATTTTATTGGCTTTGGGAAGAGGAGGGGCCTTTGGAAACTGAACAGAGGCAGGGTAACTATAAATAGACCTTTGGACTAGAGGAAGCTTTGAGCAAATTCTGGTATATTGTATTTGAACCACTAGTATCTGTTTATTGGATGACTGTCATAATGTTCTTATTATGGCTGATGGCTTCTATTATGTCAGTGAGGGGTTGTTTCTAAAAGGCTAGCTACTGTTCTCTGTCATTCTAATAATCTTGTACTTGATATATAAGCTGATAAAATGGTAGACGGTTCAACCATCTCCTTTTTGCTGTTTGTGGACTACTTGGAAATTATTAATTAGAGCTAGATGTTTATTGCAGCAGGGCATTGTGCCCTGAATGATAATGGAGTTTGTTTTTGGATATATAGGCCACTTAATTTTGTTAAATGTTCCTTTTAGTAACTGTCTTTTGTATATTAATATTACAGTGACATCTCAATATTTCACTGTATGTACACTGTCTCATCTGAGCCTTGATCATATCTAGAGTTTTACTCTTGGATCGTTATTCTGACCATATTTATGTTGTCAATAATTTAATATGGAGACTGACAGAACCCTGAAGAAGTGACTGTCTGCTGTACTGGGACAAATTTTGCAAGCCAAAAATCTTTATGAAAAGCCTGAATAGCTCTTGTAAAATTGGTACAATAATGTTTCTTCTAAATGAAGCAGCTGTATTTACAAATGGCAATAAATTAGTATCATGTATTAATTAACTTCCTATTCCCTTTCATTAAAGGGAATGGCTGTGTGGAAGAAAAAATGATGTCTCACGTATTAGCCTAAAATCCTGATGAAGACGTGTCTAAGCAGGTGTGTTGCAAGCTTTATTAATGAATTGCAGTGTTAGATATGTATTCATATATAATTTTTTGATATTATTTAACAGCTCATTGAAAATAATTCATTGTCAGAAAACATTGATAAGAGGAAGTCATTTTATGCAAACTGCTTAGAGGGTTGAAAAAAATTATGCTGTATATAAATACTGTTGAAATAAATAAATGACATAAGTGGAAAGCTGTGCATCTAGGGATGAATTTTATTTTCACAATGATTTCCAGGCTTCAGTGCATGCTCAGGTACATTTGGATAAGATTTAAATTATCGAAGCAACTTGTAGATCATAGCACATTATTAGTATGCAGCTGTTGATTGCTGCAAAAAGGACAAGTGAATATTATGTTTGGAGAGAAAGTATTTTCAGATAGCATGAATATGGAATTTGAAGTATCTAGGGGGCTGTTGGATAAGCCGATTTTAGACCTTAGACATCTTCTTGTGTCTTGTTTGCTTTCTCAATCATTTTTAGCCTACTTGGGGAGGGTGCATTGTGTATGTATGATAAGTAAAAACATGTAAATATGGAATATGATATCCGTTCGGTGTCATAGTTTCGAGTTTTGAGAAAAAGGCATAGTGAGTTCTAGTGGGGGTCTCAAGGGTAGGAACACTTTTAAATGTTGTAAACCGACAAATGATATGTTGACTTGTGTGGTAATAGTGTGTTGGGATTGAAATGCTACCAGAACATGTTGCAATCCCCAGAATCATTGCCTTATGATGGTGTTCCTTTCTTAAACTTGAAATCTGGAGCCATAGTGCAATATACTGCTTATGAAAGTGGATGTTAGTAAAGACTAGTAGTTCTGCAAATTGGCACTGCATTGATACAATGCCCTGTGGTGTGTTTGCCAATCGTATATCTTTGTCAAATGTGTGATGTGTTTGTCTGATTGTCTTTTGTCACACAAAATCCAATTGAATAAGTCATTCTCTTATGTCACTGGCCTGTGAGTTTTGTACACACATGGTAATACAATGGCCTGAATCTATACATAGTAGACAATCAATAGGGCTCTTGAAAAACATTTCATTGGAATGCTGATGTTAATAAATGAAATGGAATAGATACAATAATAAAGTCACAAAATCTCATCAAATGTTTTGTATCAATTTAAAAAATATTAACTTTAAATAGTGTACTTGAAATAAGCGTGTTTCACTGGAACTTCTTATGTGTCCTTTGGTGCATATCCTGAAATTAAATCTTAAGTTGACATTCTCTCTGTGTTAATCATCAGTTTAAAGCAAGGATTGGGAACTGGGTAACTTCCAGATGTTGCTGAACTATAACTCACATCATTTCCACCCAGCACCAGCAATGATGGGAGTTACAGTCCAACTATCTGGCAGTCACCAGGGTCCTCTTCCCTTCTTTAAAGCAGTGAAATACTTTTGGAGGGTTAGAAAAGGCAGTTGTAACTTGACATTGCCCACCTGGATTGGGTTAGACCAGAAGTTGTTTTCACGGCCATGCTAAGTGTCTATACATCTAAAGCAGGGTTTCCCAAATTTGGGCCTCCAGTTGTTGTTGGACTACAATTCCCATCAGCCCTAGCTAGCACGAACAGTGGTCAGGGATGATGGAAATTGTAGTCCAAAAGCAGCTGGAGACCCAAGTTTGGGAAGTCCTGATCTAAAGATATTCTGGATGGCAATAATTAGCTTGACAGCCTTTCCTATTACAGTAGCAAGTAGTGTAGCATTGAAGTAGTTTCAGCATTCCAAATAATAAAGGAAACTAAAAACTGACTTTATCTAATTCAGTAGGACTCTTATAAACCCACCTTACTTGCCAGGCACTGTGAACCTGTGTTCCTCCAGATGTTGCTGGACTACAACTGGAGATCCCCTGGAGAAGGCTGGGCTACATGTTACTCTGGGGTTATCCAAACACTAGTTACTGACAACCCTTACAAATGTTCAGTCAGCCAAGATTCTGCTAATTTAAGGCACTCCATACACCCAGTCAGTCCAAATGATGAAAGTAACAGCAGTTAACAAACCTACTTAGGACATGCCTTTAATTGTTAGACAGATCTTATATAGATATGGCTGACTCAGATAATCATATATATATATCAGATGGCTGCTGGTTCTTTGGTGAGAGGCTTTTCATGAATGAATACATCAGATGATATCAAGGTGCAGTGTATATAAGAGAGCCTTTGATGTAAGAGCTGGCAATAAAGCTTGCATAGAATACCAACCGTATTCAGTGGTTCGTACCACAGATCAGTCTTGTAATGCAAAGGGGAGTTTGGTCAAAATGTATCTCAGAGAAACAAATGTACTGAGTTGTCTTACAGAAGATCTTGATTACTAGGAGCTGACTTATTGCCTAGCACAATGACCTAGAAACTACTATTAGAAGCAGGAGTGATGACCTTTGCTCTGCATTGTTTTGGTTGAAAGAACTTTATTACACTTGGCATGGGGATATCAGTTTTTCCTATCATCATGTTAAATCTTGCTGTGGAGGATGCAAAACCTTCAGGAGCAGCTTTCAGGGGTGAACTATATGCCATTGGAAGATAAGGTACTGGAAAACTACACCCATAAATAGTATTTGGCTCTTGACCTCTGTTTTAGTTTTCTCTTCTTCTTAATTATTTTGCATACCAAGCAGAGTCAGCAGCATCTAATGGGGCTCACATATTCCCCAAATGCAAATAATAATTCAGTCAAACTTAGAGGAGTTATGCATGTATTGTGAACAAAGGAACTGTACAAAGCCTCCAAAACATGCAGAAAAAACAATGTTAGAGTAAAATGTTAAGGGTTCTGGATTAAAATGCTTTTGGCTACACCCAAACTGCACTGGAAATCGTTTGTTAGAAGGACTTTTCATAAAAAAATATTCTGAAAAACCCAGTATATGGAGTTCATTTTGCTGAAACCCTTGGAGAATTCAGATAGTTTGGTGGGATGTTACTTACTTTGCTGAAACGGTGCTGATAGTTCTATGCATGGCATGTACATCTATTTTGAACAATTCTTGCCTTGGTGGTTTCCCCCGTAAAGGTAAAGGTACCCCTGCCCGTACAGGCCAGTCTTGCCAGACTCTGGGGTTGTGCGCCCATCTCACTTAAGAGGCCAGGGGCCAGCGCTGTCCGGAGACACTTCCGGGTCACGTGGCCAGCGTGACAAAGCTGCATCTGGCGAGCCAGCGCAGCACACGGAACACCGTTTACCTTCCCGCTAGTAAGCGGTCCCTATTTATCTACTTGCACCCGAGGCTGCTTTCGAACTGTTAGGTTGGCAGGCGCTGGGACTGAGCGACGGGAGCGCACCCCGCCGTGGGGATTCGAACCGCCGACCTTTCGATCGGCAAGTCCTAGTCGCTGAGGCTTTAACCCACAGCGCCACCCGCGTCCCCTGGTTTCCCCCATAATGCTTGTCAAATGTTTGGTTGATGTCCTGTGTACTGATAGCTCCCTGGGTTCTTTTTGAAAGTTTTGTGCTGGCTACCTTTTATTGTGTGATAGGGGCTAAGATTTTGTTAAAAGTTAAATTGCCTTGCCATTTCAGATTTTAAGTGACACCTGATTCTTATGCTTTCTTACAGTTTAATTGATTTTCCTTTCCTTTCCCTTTATTCCCCCTACATGAATGTATGATTCTGTTGTATGGACAAAGTTGTAGCTTAGGTGGTTATTTTTCTTCAGTAGTGTCTGTGATGAGGCAAATAGAATTTTTAAATTAAGGTTTTTCAGGGTTGCTTTTATGACCTTCATCTAATCCTTTCTGTGTCCTGAGTTAATGCTGCTACTGAGTGTTCTTAAACAGACATCTTGGTGCCCTTTAAAATATAGTTACCTTGCTAGAGTTGTGTTCTTCCGTTTCATCAATTTGGAGAAGGTTTTTTCCTTCTATAAAGTCTTCCTTTGCTTTGTAGCTCTTCCTTGGCTCGGTATATTGGTATTTTCTGGCATTTGTCCTTCGTCAACTGAGGTCTTGATTTTCCAGAATGTATGATATTTGCACCAGTGATACAGATGCAGGTTTGCCTGGGTTACCTGGTCTATCAAGTGAATATGGATCTTCATAATTTGATTGGATACGTGTATTTCTTTTCCTTTGCATCAATCTTCAGTTTTATTATTTATTTATTAAATTTGTATACCGCCCTTCATCTGTAGATCTCGAGGCGGTTCACAGCGTAAAAATACAAGATAAAATATATAATACATAATAACAAGCACAAAACAAACCAGTAACCCCCTTCCGCAAACACATTTAAAAGGGCATAAGATGTTAATCATCTTATGGTTGAAGAGCTATATAATGAAAGTGCCAGCTGAACCTCCCTGGGGAGAGCATTCCACAAATGGAAAGCCACTGCAGAAAAGGCCTTTTTTCACATTGCCACCTCCACACCTCTCATGGAGAAGACACATGAAGAAGGGCCTCCTATTTAATCCTTTAGTAATTCCCATGCTCTCTGCAGTAATCTGATTCTCAACTGTGCATATTTAGGTGTTGTTTTTTTAGCCAATTCTCTTTCTTTCTGGTGCTGTTCTCCTTGAAATTGAATGACTGATACCCTGCCCACATACATGTTGAACTAAATAGTATTATTGTTGTTGCTAGGAGACTTAAGCTGCAATCCTAAACTTACTTGCTTCTTTTGAAGTAAGTACCATTGAAATATTTCTGAGCAAACATGATTAGGATTGGACTGTCAGCAGATTCTCGGCACTATTTGAGTTATTTCTGGTTTGGTTGACTTTCTATTTGTGCCTATCATGAGTTGCCATATGAATGTGTTAAGTTACTCTCTTGTTTATGTAGCATTTCTGATTTGTTCCATTTCAGTTCACTATAACCATATGACTGAATTGGTTAGATGATTGTAGCCAGATCTTTCTGTTTATGATACAAAATTGTCTCCTTCTCCTGTTCCAAATGACCCAGCCTCTGAAGTTCCCTTAACTTTCTTCTTCTACACTAGCATACTTCCCTTTTGA